AAAACAAACTCATTTATAATCCAATATACCTAGTAGGTTTTAACTCCAAATTCGAAGCAATGGCTTGCCAAAACTCACAACATTGAGTCCATCTCAAAAGCTAGAAAGGATAAGAATGATGGTGATCACACTACTTTAGGCCCGATTGATCATTGTTTTCATGAACCCAATGCTGCTAATTAAGATTATATTGCTTGGCTGGTGAGTTCTTATGATTTCCTTATGGACGAGTTTATGGTTTGGAACTTCGTTACATGAACAATATATACACATAAACAGCACAAAAAATAAGGTTGTACATGATATTTCTGACATATATTGTATACCATTAATAATAATGCTGCACAATTAGCATCCATATTAACCCAACATGAGCATAAAAAATACAGAAATTGGAAAAAGAAAACTAAAACACAAAGACGTCTGAATAAAGGGCAAAAAATAAAGTTGGTTCATGTTGGTGATTTCCCACCCACCACCGCCACACTGCTGATGATTCCCCAGCAAGAGAATTGGTGAAACATCCCTCCTCCCTCGACCATAATGATGAAAACACCCAACCCCACTGCCTCTAAGCGAAATCGAAAAATCAAGAAAACCAAGAAATCAAGAAAACCCACCTGCCCTCTTCCAAACCGCTGCTATAACCCACCCCAAGAAAATTGAGAAATCAATACATCCTTAACCCACCAGACCCACCACACAACTGCCTCCAACAAAAACCGAAAAACAATAAATCAAGAACATAAAAGGAAACATGCGATAGGCGAACACAATCTACAAAATACGAACACATGGAAATATGCGTACATAAATTCAATCGGTTGAAGAAGAACACAACTTACCTCGCCAAGATCAGGAAATGCTGAAGAAGAAGACACCTCTGGTTGAGTAGGGAAGTCGGTGAGGGCTTTATATAGAAGAACAACTGTGGCCTTTACTCCAAACAGACACTTGAGGTGAGAGATGAGAGCATAATCAAGTCTGCGAAATCAGCCATAGTCACTCCTTTTCGCCCAAGCCAGAGAAAAAGAGCAGAGAAGAGGTGACTTCTCATCTTTCTCCAGGAATTCAGCATCCATAGCAACTCCTTTTTGCCCAAGCTAGAGAATAAGATGTTACTTTAAAGGGAGGCAGACGGAGAGGGGAAGGGGAAGGGGAAGGGGAAGGGGAAGGGGAAGGGGAAGGTGAAGAGATGAAGAACAGTGGGTTGTTAATGGCCGATTTGTGAGTACACAAGGGAGAGGGAGTAACTGATGGAATTGATGGTTTCCGTATTGGTGCTGGACAATTTGTGAAGAAAGAGAGAGATTAAAGGTTGCGAAAAGTATAGAGAGGGAGAGAGACTAAGAGATGGGTGAGAAGATTGGGCAAATTATTGAGAGAGAGAATGTAACGACTAGTAAAGGAGAAAGGCAGAGGGGCGAGAGACCGGTGAGAGAAAATCGTAAAGACGCATGAGAGAGACAGAAAAACAACTGAAAATGGAGAGAGGAAGGAGATGACTGGATTAGGAAAGAAGTGGAGCGGCAATTTTGTTTCCCTGTCGTTAAATGCAAAAGAGATGGATGACATAGTTACACTTTTGGAGGGCAAAGATGGAAAACAAATGTTTTTCACATTTGTTTACTTTTTAAAGGAATATAGATATAGATTTTTGGGTGTGAGTACAAATTTTTAGGCTAATTTGAGTAAAAGTGTATGAATAAGTTATTTATTTTATTAAGTACAATTTTTATAAAATTTTTTGTGTTTAAGTAGAAAATTTAAAATGAATTAAAATTTTTTTTATTTAAACACTTTTCCTTAATTTATGTAGTCATCATTGACAGTTATTTGAAAAAATAAATATGTAAAAATTAACAGTAATAATGGAAGGTAAAATAGGAGTTTACAGAGAGCAAGAGAGAGCAAAAATAGAGATTTTTCGTGCTAGAAGATGAAGATGAAGGAGTATGGGTGCAAAGTATAAGTGATATGTATATAAAATAAAATAGTTTATAATTCAAATATTAAAAGATAAATAAAATAATTTTTAATATTCGTGGTGAAGATCGTTTTAAATTTATTTTAAAGTTAATCTATCTGTTAATATTAATACCCTAAATTTAATAGAAAAAATAAATCATAAGGGTGTGTTTGGAGTGACTTTTTAAAAATACTTCTATAAATAATTTCTTATAAATATTTTTTTAAAAAAAATAGTATTTGAAACTGTTTCACCACTACCACCACTATCACCACTGCTGCCACTGCCACCACCACTATCATCGCTGTCATTACCATCACCCCACTGCCACCCCACACTCATTGCCAGTGCCGCCACCCCCACACTCACCGCCACCGCCACCCCCACCACCGTAGCCGCCACCACCGCTGATGCTGTCGCCATCGCCACCGCACCACCATCTTCGCCGCCACCATCATCACCACTGTTGCTTATTACCTTTCACTCTCACTATAAACTGATGTTTAAATTCTTTTGTCTCATCTCTATGTTTGTGATTTGATTTTAGATATGAATATAAATATGTTTACTGTTTACTATTTTTTATTATTTTGTGTCTTCAGGCACAGACAATAACTAATATATATATATATCGTCTCATGCCACTAACCTTGCTTCCACGACATCTGACCAAAAGGAATAAAGTCTTTTACTATGATGATTGATCAAACCTTGAATTTTTTTTTTTTTAAAAAAAGAGAATCAATCAAAATGTTTTGTTAGATATTTATGTATTGTTCGTTGTTGAGATGTAGGAAAAAAAAATTTATTTGTTTTTTTTAATAAGTGTAACTATTTTTTAATGTGTATAACTATTTTTTTAATGGGTGTAACTATTTTTTTAATAGATGCAATTATTATTTAATGAGTATAATTGTTTTTTAATGGGTGTAATTGTATTTTTTTAATGAGTTTAACAATCACAGTCTCATGCAATTGTTAAGACAGGATGTTGTAACGATGCTACAATACTAAATGATGCAACTATTTAATTTATGTAAACAACTGTATGACAAATTGAGTTGATGTCATAATTTTGTGTAATTGTTTTGTGTATCTTGGTTTATTAGAACATATGTATAACTGTTTAGTGTATTATATTACAATTGTAACTGATTAGTGTAATTGTGTTGTTGTAATATTAATATAAATAAAGTAAGAAAAAATAGGGAGAGAGAGAGAAATTGTCAGAAAAAATATGCCCCTATTTTACCTCCTATTACTTGATTGTAACAAAAAAAAAAAACTAGAAAGAATACCAAAGGGTTTCAATCCATATGTTGTTTATCGATAGTAATAGTGACATTTTTAAAAAATATGTATTTTATCCCAAATAAGTTTTTGACCGGTACTTTTGTTCAAATAAGTCTAAAAAATTATACCAACTTTTAAATTCCCATTTTTAACGAATAATTGGCGATGAATATCTTTTTTAAAACTTATTTGTCTTTAAGTATTACATCTAAATTTATACTCCATTAAGACTTCTTTTTATTAAATAGTTGTCAATAAGTACATATTTTAAAAGATTTCAAATTCTTTTTGAAGTATATTTTATAATTACCCTTATCATAAATATTATCCATCATTATTAGTTTCAATATTTTCAAACATAATAATTCTAACTTAGAAATTGTGTTACAATTAAAATTATTTTTATATTTTATATATATATAGTAACATTAAATAATAACACGTTTAATAAAAAAAATTATAACACACTCAACAAAAAAATAATAATATCAAATAAAAAATAATTATATGCTCAATAAAAAATTTAATTATTTCAATAAAGTGAGACCAGAGCCTAGATCGGCCTGATATGTATCATCACTTACCTAGCCACCAAGTATTTAATTTTGAGACCAAACATTAAAAGAAAAAAAAAAACTACCTATTCAGCCAACAAAGTTAAATCATCAAACTAACTCAACTTCGGTGAGTTGACTGCGGTATCAATTTTGTTTTTTTGGTAATACTTGGGTTTGTAAGTGTTTTTATTAATGGTAAAAATAAATATTATTATAATAATAAAAATATCCATAAATGTGGTAAAAACTTACAAATATGATAAATTATCTACAAAAATGGTAATTTTTTTTTGTACCAAAAATAAGTGATAAAAATAATTATCACAAATGTGACAAAAACACTCACAAAAATAATAAATTATTCACAATAATAATAATTTTTTTGTAAATAATTCATAAAAATTAAAAAAAAATAAAAAATTGGAGATACCATATCAAAACGTCTTTCAAACTAAGTGCCTGGTCGCCTAGATAATTGTGTGGGGGATAAATTCACCCAAAAGATCACAAACTTGCACAGAGGGAAAGGGTGGCGAAAAAACTTTGGTGAACCTGCAAGACATGAGAACGTCGAAGTGAATCGATGATCTGATGCGGTCAAAGGACCTCTGATACTTAAATCAGTAAAAAAGTTAAAAAAAAATATATACAATGAATACGCTAATGACATACCTGGTACCCTAAATTTTATTTATAGCGATATAGGAAATGGTATTTCAAATATAATCGACCTCTATGTTGTCATAAAGTAAACCTTATCATCGATCACTCAAATATTTGAGATAAAATTATACTAAACCTTATCATCAATCACCCAAATATTTGAGATAAAATTATACTAAGACGTTGAGTCTTAGAGTTATATGCACTTGATACTAGGAGTCAAGTTTTGCTGGGACTTTATGTCCCGGGTCAATCCTTAGTGTTGGGATTTAATTCGATTTAAATTCATTAACAAACACACACAATCGAAGAACAAATCAAAAATATAAAGCAATAAGAAACAAGAAAGAACAAAACACAGATTTTACGTGGTTCGACAATTTGCCTACATCCACGAAGCTGCAGGAATTTCACTATTGAGAGAGTTGAATTACAGAGAGCGGCCGTACAATCCACGATTAACCTTAATCATCAAAACAATAGGGTTTATATGTCCTACGCACTGGGCTGTATCGGCCCAAGCCTTCGCTCCATGGACTAAGCTTCAGAAAATTTTTCATTAAAAACCACACAACATTATTTCGGGTCGAGTTATCATTCGAATCACACATATAAACTAGACTCTATAAAAAAAAATCAACAATTTTCCCACTTGGAGACTAGTTGAAACACCAACACTTAGCCAAGCAGTAAGTTAGGCGCCGGGTAGAAGGGAGGACGCCGACGCCGACGCCGACGCAGGGGAGCAGTTGAGGCGACGCAGGGCTGGGGAGACAGATTGGGCGGCGCCAGACTGGCCACGTGCTCAGGATTTGGGCGGCAAACTTCTGGCGCAGGGCGCCGGCGCCAGACACTGGGCTGGCTGGGTGCTGACTGTAGAGGGCGACGCCTAAAGACTGGAGACTGCTGTGGTGGGCGCCGCCTTGAGGTTTGTCGTGGGCGGCGCCTCACTGCTGCTTTGCTGAAGGTCAGTGACCTCCGTCCCACGATGATGTCACAGCATACGTGACATTTGTTCTTCACCACATAGATAAGATAAGATATGGTACTGCGTTGTCATGGCTTACGTTGAACTAAAGATGATTGTGATGTCATGGCATGCGCTGTACCAGGAATCAGAAAATATTATTAATTATTGACTCCAAGCAAAATATATGTAGCAGTTCATAGCCAAGCCATGAAACTTCACTTCATACTAGTAAGTCCAAGACTATAACTCACACACCATTACAGATTCTCGGATATAATATGGCTCAAGCACTGTAAGATTAGGCAACCAAGAGGTATGATGTTGTTCTCTTTGATAACATATTCTGAAACAAAGTCTTCAAATACTCGTGTCATCTCTCTCTTTTTTGAAATTTTACAACATGATGAATTCTTTGATGAAACTGTTCTTTAATTTTTGTGACTCTATTTATAATGTTTAGGATGGCGGTCGATGGGAGCTAATAAGGGGATTGGATTAGAAATATGTAGACAATTAGCCTCAAGTGGAGTTATTGTGGTATTAACTGCTAGAGATGAGAAACGTGGCATTGAAGCTGTGGAGAAACTTCAAACTTCTGGACTTTCAGATGTATTTTTCCATCACCTTGATGTCATGCACCCAACTAGCGTTGCTTCCTTGGCAGATTTTATCAAGACACAATTTGGGAAGCTTGACATACTGGTAAGATTATAATTTAGAACTTACTTCTTCATGAATATGAGAGAGAGAGAGAGAGAGAGAGAGAGAGAGAGAGAGAGAGAGAGAGAGAATTTAGGAGTTACTTATTCATGGTTAGCATTAAACATTGTCCAATGGAGAAGGGTCTACACTTTTCGTCTTCCATAGCTTGGAATTTGGCTATTTAATCAAGACTTTGAAAATGTATGTTTGAGCAAGATAACTAATTGAGGAATCCCTGGTTCAGGTAAATAATGCAGCAATTACTGGAGTAGTTATCGATGAGGAAGCTCGAAAAGATTTAAAACTTGGGCCTGATGACGTAAGTCTCTTGATATAAGTTTTTTCGTTATGTTCCAATCTTTACAAGTTGTGATAAAGTCATTTGGTACACAAATTGTTCTATGATTTGAATCTTTCCAAAATAAATTGTGGATATAGGTTGTAGGTGACAAGGCTAAATTGCTCAAGGAAGTTATTAAGGAAGGTTACGAGGGGATAGAAGCCTGTATAAGAACAAACTATTATGGTGTTAAGAAAGTGACAAAAGAGCTTTTATCTCTTCTTCATCAATCAAATTCAGCCAGACTTGTTAATGTCTCCGCTACATTGGGGCAGCTTCAGGTACAAAACTTATTCTTCATAGTCGGTATTCCATATCTGGGTTTAACCAACGCAAGTGCTTAGTAGGTGTTGCATCCATTCGAATTTTGTTGAGCGGCCATGAGTTTTAAGATGCAATGTTGGAATTATTCTCCATAACCCAAAAAAAAAAAAAAAAATTGATTGTGGACAAACACATACCTTCACTAATAAATTTTATTCTAAGTTTTTTTTTTTATGAAAAATGGTTAATATCTTAAAATAACTGTTGAATTATATTTCAGTTTATGTCTCATGAAAGAGCTAAGGAGAAGCTAGGAGATGTTAATGGGCTCACAGAAGAGAAAGTGGATGAGGTGGTGAAGGAATATTTGAAGGATGCAAAGGAGAGATTGTTGGAAACTAAAGGATGGCCTACAAATTTATCTGCTTATACGGTCTCCAAAGCCAGCTCTTAACGCCTACACAAGGGTTTTGGCAAAGGCATATCCCAATATTGCCATAAATGCAATATGTCCCGGATATGTGAAAACAGAAATAAATTATAATACTGGGATATTGACTGTTGAAGAAGGTGCAAAAGGTCCTGTGATGCTAGCTCTTATGCCTCATGGTGGCCCTTCAGGCCTGTTTTTTAGTAGCACGGAAGTATCAATCTTTTAATAGATAAAATGTGGTAGAATTTGGAATGAGGGTTTAGATATCGATCTATGTATTTATAAGGCCCTAGAGGAGAAATAAAGCTCAGCTGCTACTTGATTTTATTTTTTATTGGCCTTAGAAGCTCCTCATGTGTGTATATATATACTATGTGTGTGCGTGTATGCATATGAAACTGTTCCTATATGTGAGGGTAAAACTCAAGATGTCAGCATATATCTTCCATATTTGCATAGTCAACACGGAGAGAGAAAGTATCAAGGATATTTGTAACCCAATAACTCTTGGATAAGGCCATTAATCCAGTGTTTAACTTTGGTTTTGTTCAAAATTTTTCTTCTAATTTAAATATAAAATGCAGAAAGCAAACTAATGATATCCTCCCCAGTTAGTCTTTGCCTCGCACAAGGAACTCATGCAGTTAAGTCAGTTTGAACAAAAATAACAAGTATTTTAAAAGATATGCAATCGAGAGCACGATAAATATTCATTTTTGACAAACAAAACGAGGGATTTATATTGAGATTTGGTTAAAGGTTTTTTTTTTGTGTGTGTGTGTGTGTGGGTGAATGTTTTAGAGTTGTTGTCGTTCATGTTGATGCATTGGCAATAACAGGCAATTAACTTCAAAAAAAAACAAAAGAAGAGAAAACCTCTTCCACATGGTTTTGTCCTATACAGAGCTAAAATTTTCCAAGTGGGAGGCTTACTAAAAGTTGGGCAAAAATGTACTGGAGGATTATAGCTATAAGGGGCGATATTGAAAAGATACCAAACTAAAGATGGTCAACTATTAATTCTCAATAATTAACACAAAACCTAAAGATCCAAAGGAAAATTATAAATCACTAAGGAGGGGGAGGGGTCCATAGCAATTGGACGCTACTAAAATCAATAACCAACTCCTTATGTAATATGATAACCCCATATAAAGTAGTGGAATTCACTAGATTCATTGGCTCGCGTTTGATTGAATGAGCCACGAGATATGGTTTTTGATCAATTAGGTGCGACAATTGGATCGATTAAAGCCCGTGAATGTTTACCCAAAGGATGGGCCTGTAATTTGAACCGTTGACTTAAGAAAATTCAAACAATTTAAAAAAATAACCGTGGATTTAAAAAAATTCAAACAATTTGAAAAAAGATAGGGCTATTCGCACCTCTTATATTTTTTTTCCTCCCTCCCATTTAATTCTCTTATTTTAAATACTAAAACTATTCCATTTATACTCACTCCATTAAACTATTGACTAAAATTTTATCCATGCAATACATTAATATTTTTCACTCTATTATACATACACCATATCATGTCACACTATTTGGGTCTACACATGATCATTGTGCAAAGGACAAGTTAATATTTAATGTAATGGTTAGATCATACTACTATCGTCACGTGGTGTAATCGATCAATATTAAACAACTAAATAGGATAAGTGAACCCTAACCCATCTTACGTGATAGTTTTGAATGTGGAAGTAGTTGTTAGTGGTTATACAATTTATCCGGATCCATTACTCAAATACATATTTATTCACAATTGGTCGGATATACCACCACGTGACGGTAATAATATGGTATAACCGTTATATTGAATATTTCTTACAAAGGCCTTTTCTATGTCAAAGAAGTCTTTAGTAGGTTTTTGATTTCTTCAAATTTGAACATATCAAATTCTGTTTTTTTTTTTAAAAAAAACATAGCAAATTGTCTTCTCACACAGAGTCCGTGAAATAAAGCAAATGGGCAGAATACCATAATCCCAACACAGTAGCACTGACTTATCCAACCATGATTTGTAGAAGTCGCTAATATGGCTCAAACAATGCAAGATCAGGCAACCAAGAGGTATAACATTGTTCTCTTTGATCTCTTCTTATCAAACAAAGTCTTTAAATGCATGTTTAGTGATCTTTCTCTCCCCCCACCCCCACCCCCACTCCTATTTGTGGGGTTTTAAGAGGTGGTGAATCCTCATATGGGTTTCTTCTTTAATTTCCATTGTTATGTCTATGATGTTCAAGGTGGCGGTCGTGACTGGAGCTAATAAGGGGATTGGGTTCGAGATATGCAGACAATTAGCCTCCAATGGAGTCACGGTAGTATTAACAACCAGAAATGAGAAGCGCAATGTTGAAGCGGTTGAAAAACTTAAAACCTCTGGGCTTTTAGATGTATTTTTCTGTAAGGGGTAGAAATCGCTACGGATCTCATCCCTCCACTTGAAGGATTTCGGCTTGACCTGGGTTAACCCACGCGGGCGACCCCCCAGTAGCCTTTACCCCTCAGTGCCCGCAGGAGCTTCGTCCCACATCGACTGAGAGTCGTCTCCCCCCCTCGCATATAAGCCCTTGCACTCAAAGGAGGAGGTACCCACTAGGCCTGATCAGGTCGCTAGTGGGTACCTCCTCCTTTGAGTGCAAGGGCTTATATGCGACTGAGGGGTAAAGGCTACTGGGGGGTCGCCCGCGTGGGTTAACCCAGGTCAAGCCGAAATCCTTCAAGTGGAGGGATGAGATCCGTAGCGATTTCTACCCCTTACAAAAAGGCGCCTTTTTGTAAGGGGTAGAACCCTCCACTCAGGATTTCGGCTTGACCTGGGTTAACCCACGCGGGCGACCCCCCAGTAGCCTTTACCTCTCTTCGCCAATAGGACCCTTTCCTAAGGCAATCCCACAACCCCCCAGTAGCCTTTACCTCTCTTCGCCAATAGGACCCTTTCCTAAGGCAATCCCACATCGGAAGAGAGTCGTCTTCCCCCCTCGCATATAAGCCCTTGCACTCAAAGGAGGAGGTACCCACTAGCGACCTGATCAGGTGCCTAGTGGGTACCTCCTCCTTTGAGTGCAAGGGCTTATATGCGAGGGGGGGAGACGACTCTCAGTCGATGTGGGACGAAGCTCCTGCGGGCACTGAGGGGTAAAGGCTACTGGGGGGTCGCCCACGTGGGTTAACCCAGGTCAAGCCGAAATCCTTCAAGTGGAGGGATGAGATCCGTAGCGATTTCTACCCCTTACATTTTCCATCAGCTAGATGTCATGGACCCTGCTAGTGTTGCTTCCTTGTTAGACTTCATCAAGAAACAATTTGGGAATCTTGACATACTGGTAAGATTAGAACCATAAAACTAGTATCCACCTGATATGAATGGAAATTTGTTGTTAGATCAATATGGTGGTTGAGGTGCAAAATGATTCCACTTGCAGACTTTAAAAATTTATGTTTGAGCAAAGATAAGTAAATGAGTAACCCTTGGTGCAGGTAAATAATGCAGGAGTTATTGGAGCAATAATCGTTCAAGAAACTCGGGAAAATTTAAAACTTGGTATTGATGAGGTAAGTCTCATGACGTATAATTTCTCATTACATTCCAGTATTTATAAGTTGAATTGAAATCAAATTGTGGATATAGGTCGTAGGTTCCAAGACTAAAATGCTTAAGGAAATTCTTAAGGAAGTTTATGAGCAATCAGAAGCCTGTCTAGGAACCAACTACTATGGTGTTAAGCATGCGAAAAAAGCACTTTTACCTCTTCTTCAGAAATCAAATTCAGCCAGGCTTGTTAATGTCTCCTCTGTAATTTGCATGCATTCGAACTTTATGCATCCATGAGTCTAAAAGATGCAACATGTTTGATTATATTTCAGCTTATGTCTCATGAAAGAGCTAAGGAGGAGCTAGGAGATGTTAATGGGCTCACAGAGGAGAAAGTGGACGAGGTGGTGAAGGGATTTTTGAAGGATGTCAAAGAATGTTTGCCGGAAAGTAAAGGTTGGCCTACAAATTTCTCTGCTTATATGGTCTCTAAAGCAGCTCTTAATGCCTACACGAGGATTTTGGCAAACACATATCCCAATATTGCTATAAATGCAGTATGTCCTGGATTTGTGAAAACAGATATAAATTATAATTGTGGGATAGCGACTGTCGAAGAAAGTGCAAAAGATCCTGTGATTCTGGCTCTCATGCCTGACGGTGGCACTTCAGACATATTTTACAGTTGTATGGAAGTATCAACCTTTTAATAAAAAAAAAAGTGGTACTTTTCTGGAATGAGAATTTACATATTAATTTATCTGTAGTTGAATTTACATGTCAATGTATCTGTAGTTCTGTATGACCCTATAGGCGAAATAAAGCTTAGCTGCCACTATCTTTTATTGTACAAATGTCTTAAAAGTTCCTTATCTCTCTCTCTCTCTCTCTCTCTCTCTATATATATATACATAAACATATGTGCGCGATAATTTTCGCACACCAAATAGAGAAAGATAGCTCTCTTCTTTGGTAAACTTGTGTTTTCCTCGAAAGTTGATTATCTGATGGCAAAGGAAGGCCAAAGGGGGCCTAAGAAGTGATGATGAATTGCTATAGGGCTGTCTAATCGATCCCAGCGAGTTACAGACGGTCCCTTGCACAAAAAGAGGGGTTAGAAGGGCGCCGGAGTATTTTTCGACGTATTCCTTTCAATGGTCAAGTCAGTTTCTGTAAGAGAAGGGAAAGGAAAGCACATTGTATGTTCTAAGAGGTCAATTTGCGCACCTTTGTTTTGAGTTTTAGAGAGCTATTTATACATTCCATAAAGGTCATCATTACTGATTAGTAAGTAATAGGCGGTGCTCGGTCATTGGGTAGCACACCCTCCAATTTGTAGGGACTAAGCTCAGACATTAAATACTCGGCCTCCCCAGCATTTAATACCCTTTCTCCCTGGCTCCGAGCATTTAATGTTGTTTCTCCCAGGCCCCCGAGCATTAACTACTTCCCATCCCTTTGAGGGATCATTAAATGCTTCCTTGTGACGAATACATACAAATAAGGGCTTCTTTGTCTTTTGGCCCCTACTTCTGTACTCCCGGCCATGTGTTTAACTCTCTTTGATTATTGGTCTTGTCTTTCCTGTCACTCTGACTCCATTGGGAAGGCAAGCCAACGATTCACAATCTAACTCTGAGATTGATAGACTGTAACTGTCAACGATCCTTCCAAGAGCCGAGATGACGTGTCCAAAAGAGTCCTTGAGATCCAATCATGGGGGGACATGTGTCAGAATCTCAAGACTACAAAACCTTGGAAGTTTCCTCGGTGCCGAGGGCACGTGTCATCACTAAAGAATAAAAGGTGTCTTGGTACCGAAGACATGTGTTTCCATCAGAGAGCTTGAAGTGTCCTTGGAGCCAAGGACACACGTCATTACCAGAGAGCAAAAGGTGTCTCTGATGTCGAGGACACATATCTTCACCAGATGGGGGTGTTATCGGTGCCGAGGACACGTCTCAAACCCCTTGTTTTTTCTCAAAAATGTCCCATCAATATATATATATTTGTGTGTGTGTGTGTGAGCAAAACTCCTGCTACAGGAACATTCAATCTTTCCACTGTGTGAATTCTAGATTTGTGAAGAAAGAGATTACATGTAACATATGGCAAACTTAACACATTAGGAAACTAATATATTTTGAATATAAATAAAATGATCGAGAAACAAGAAAAATAGAAATCACAAATATACGTGGTCCGTCCACTTGGAAAGCTAAGGCCCGTTTGATAACTGTCTCTGTCTTGTGTTTGTGTTTTTGTTTTTAATTTTTGTCAAAAATGAAAACAAAAATATGTTTTGGTATTGTTTTTGTTTTTGTTTTATATTAGTTGTCTTGGAAAAAATGAGAACAAAGACAAAAACACGGGAACAAAAAAATTGTGTTTCAGAAAACACCCGAAACACAAAACATGCGCGCAACTCAACTGAAGATTTTAATGAGGTCTCGAATTCGGCCCTCATTATTAACAAAAATGTGTTATTTTTCGTGGAAGTATAAAAGAAGACTTCAGTCACTTTTCACCCATTCTCTTTCTCTCTCTCTCTCTTTCTTTGTACACGGACGAAGAGAACCGATGGCGTGGAAGAAGACGATCTGTGTGGTTAGATGGCGTGGAAGAAGAAGATCTCTTTGTTTTGTGGAAGAAGATGATGCTCCCTCTCTCTCTCTCGCTCGCTCGCTCTTTGTGAAACCCAAAAACGAAGACACAGATCTATGCATATTTGTGCATCTGATGTGTTTTGTGTGTGTGTGTGTGTTGTGTTGTGTGATGCACAGATCTGGGCAAATCGTGTGTGTGTGTGTGCATATTTGCACATTTGTACAGATTTGTGAGAGTGACGACTATGTGTGTATGTGTTGTGTTGTGTGTGTCTGTTGTGTTGTGTGATGCACAAATCTGTGCAAATCTACACAGATCTATGCGTGTGTGTGTGTGTGTGTGTTTGAATTTCCATTTAAGATTGACTGAATTACCATTTGGAACTAAATTATCTTTTGGAAATTAATTGTTAATTGGATTGATTGAATTGCAATTTAAGATTGATTGACTTGGTATTTGGGATTAAATTTCCATTTGAAATTTATTAAATTACCATTTGGGATTGTACAAAAACATTTGAGATTGAATTGCCATTTAGTCCCAAATTTTTTTTAAAAGATTTTTTAGATTTGTATTGTATTGTATAATATATTATAAAACATATTTAGGATAAAACGTGAATTAGTTATAAAACACGTTTTGTTTTTTATTCTAATTATTTGATAGACAAAAATGACATTCAAACATGTTTTCTGTTTCAGTGCTTATCACAAAACAGAGACAAAAATTGTCTCTGTTTTTGATTGTTTTGAAGACGTGAAAACGAAAATGTTACCAAATGACCCCTAAATTTCTCATCATTCTCACTAGTTTTGTTTTGATTTACATCAATCAATCTATATGTGTAAGAATACACCACGGTTGAAAAAAAAGTTCAACACAATTACTTATTCTTTGTTTGATTGACATTTCTAAGGTCCGTGACTTAGAGTCTATCTAAGAAGCACGAACACGGCTACAGATATGATATGATACAGACATATGACTATGCTATTTCTTAAAAAAGTAGAACACGGACACATTGGGGACATATTGAATAAATATATGTATTTAATTTTTATATGACTAGTAGTTCATAAATTTGACCCAATACACATTTTTATACATACTTTTGATCCAAGTAAATGAATAAATTTGGCTCAAATGTAATCTAATTTTAATTTACCCATTAAATTTATTGGACCAAACAAAGACCCATAATACAGATTAATTATTGAGTTAGCCCATCCAATAGAATGTACAAGTTTTCCATCTTTATAGAGAAAATAGAGAGAGATTAGAGAGAAGAGGTGTGTCGGTGTGTTTGAGAGAGAGAGAGAGAGAGAGAGAGAAAAAAAGAGGGGGTGGGGGGCCTTACGGGCACATCTAGGTGGGGTGGGGGCACCTACGGGCAGATCTACTTTTTTTTTTTGTGGGAAAATGACAGATATTTTTTTTCGTTGTATTGTTTAAATCAAGTCATTGCCATGTGGCATATCATTATTGATTTTTTTTAGATTTTTGCCTTATCTCCTTATCAACTTGAAAATATCAAATGTGGCCGATAGCTGCATATCAATGAACCCCTTTGGTGTTCCATTGCTCGAGATTTGTCTTTCTCTTCTATTTCTTTATTATCGTTGTCGTCTGTCTTCATCAACCCCAACTACTGTGAACAACAGAAAATTGGTAAGTTAGAGAAATTGTATCCGAGACGTATCAAATTATCAAAAATATAAAAACAAGGTTCGGACAATAAGTTTTGCGTATTCGACACATGTCCGGGCGTATCCGTGTCTCAGATGTATCGGACACGAATACGTGAGGACAAATGGATTAAGTTAGTTATGATTTTTGATGATGTCACAACATACGTGCCATTGGAGAATGCTACAGCATTGAAAAAAAAAACATTGGTAGTATACCGTCATTATAATTTTGTGGATCAGTTACAATTTTTGAGCTGATTTGGGGTTGATCTTAAAATCCTAAAATAAAATTAGAATTATTCTAACATTTTTAAGATCGAACTCAAGTATCACAAAAAAATTAGAACTTAGACAATAAAAAATAGTAACTTGAGCCCTAAAAATTGTAATACTACCCAAAACAGTGTAATTTTTTTATTGTAAACAAATAAGAAATTTATATATCAACTTATAAAACTTATAAAATATGATTGTGCCGTACCCTTTTTTTTGGAGGGTTAATCACAAATTGCACTTTGAAAAAATTTTCGAATCTCAATTTGCAGCCTCAAAGATGAAAAAAATCTTAATTTGCAGCCTCAAATATATAAATTTATATCAATGTGAACTTGAAACTAACAACCGTCTAAAATTAGTCGGGTAAGTTACATCTAGACCCTCTTAAATTTGTCACTTAATCATTTGGACCCCTCACATTTAGAATATTATTCTTACACCTCATGACTTTTGTGCACGTGTAATATATAGCCCTTTTATCGTTAATATCTTTTAAAATAACCGTTAAAAAACATGATTTCATTCGAATAAAAAATTATAATTTTCATACTACACTTTATTTTGTGGGCCCGCTACACTCTAAAATTCAAGATCAAGTTTACCATTTAAATGCCTAATATAATAGGATATTTATATAATATTTTTTATATTCAATGCAATATATCACTTGAACATAATTATTTGGATGTCTAATTGAGAGAACATTTTTAGTCATATTTAAATTCTCTGGGGATGTAAGTGTTATATTTTAAATATGAGGACTCTAAATAATTAAGTGATAAATATGGGGGGTTTAAGTATAATTTATCCATTTAAACGGCTAACTAATAGTTGTTAGCTTCGGTACGCATTGATACAAATTTATATTTTATGGGTATAAATTTAAATTCGAACGATTTGATCTCGTGAATTTACAATTAACCCTTTTTAATTTTTTCCAGTTCTCCACGTTACATTTGACCTCCTCATGGCATACGTTGAACTGAAGAAACATTTGACGGTGTCGTCATGCCATACGATGTACAGAAAGGGATAAGATTGATTATTCACTCCAATCAAACAATATATCGATAGCCAGTTGGCCATGAAACTTCACTACATCATAACAAGTCTAAAACTATAACTCCTACCGATAACAGATTCTCGGATATATTATGGCTCAAACAATGAAAGATCAGACAACCAAGAGGTATATTTTCCTTCTCTTTGATTTCTTTCTATCAAAAAAAGTCTTCAAATACAAGTTTAATGCTCTCTCTCTCTCCCCTTCCTTTTTTGTGGGATTTTACAAGGTGATGAATCCTTCCAGTTATCTGCTTTTAATTCTCATGGTTATGTTTATGATCTTCAGGATGGCGGTCGTGACGGGGGCTAATAAGGGGATTGGATTAGAAATATGTAGACAATTAGCCTCCAATGGAATTACGGTGGTATTAACAGCTAGAGATAAGAAACGCGGCGTTGAAGCTGTTGAGAAACTTAAAACTTTTGGACTTTCAGATGTATTTTTCCACCAGCTTGATGTCACGGACCCTGCTAGCGTTGCTTCCCTAGCAGAATTCATCAAGGCACATTTCGGGAAGCTTGACATATTGGTAAAATTAGAATTAATTAAAAGTTACATATTTACAATAGAGACAGATAGAGAGAGAGAATGAATTTAGGAGTCACTTATTCGTGGTTAACATTCAACATCGTCTAATGAAGAAAGGGACTACACCTTTAGTCTTCCATAGCTTTGAAAATGGTTATTTCATCAAGACTTCGAAAATGTATGTATGAGCAAGATAAGTAAATGAATAACTCCTGGTGCAGATTAATAATGCAGCAATTATTGGAACAACAATCGATGAGAAGGGTTGGGAAACTGTCCAATTTGATCTTGATGCGGTAAGTTTTTTTATATAAATTTTCTCAATATATTTCAACATTTATCAGTTGTATTAAACTCATGTGCTATATTGATTGTCCTATGATTTAGATGTTTTCATACAAAATTGTGGATATAGGTTTTACGTGCCAAGGTTAAATTGCTTAAGGAAGGTACTAAGGAAAGCTACGGGGAGGCAGAAGCTTGTCTAAGAACAAACTATTATGGTGTTAAGCAAGTGACAAAAGGACTTTTACCTCTTCTCCAGCAATCAAATTCAGCCAGAATTGTAAATGTCTCCTCCATATTCGGGCAGCTGCAGGTACAAAACTTATTTTTCATAATGGGTGAATACCATTGAGCACATAAAATCCGAGTTTGAGCAACACAAATGGTTTGTTTTAAAATGGTTTATCTTAAAACAACTGTTTGATTGTATTTTAGTTTATGTCCCATGAAAGAACTAAGGACGAGTTGGGAGATATTAATGGGCTTACAGAAGAAAAAGTGGACGAGGTGGTGAAGGGACTTTTGAAAGACGCAAAGGAGGGTTTGCTAGAAACTAAAGGTTGGCCTATAAATCTCCCTGCTTACACGGTATCCAAGGCAGCTCTTAATGCCTACACGAGGATTTTGGCAAAGACATATCCCAATATTGTCATTAATGCAGTGCATCCTGGATATGTGAAAACAGAAATAAATTGTAACACTGGAATACTGACTGTTGAAGAAGGTGCAAAAGGTCCTGTGAAATTGGCTCTCATGACTAATGGTGGCCCTTCAGGGCTTTATTTCAGTGGCACGGAAGTATCGACTTTTTAACGAATGAAATGTAATAGAATTTAGAATAAGGGTTTAAATATCTTTGTATACAGATGGCCAGAGGAGAAATAAAACTCAACGCTACTAGTTTTTATTTTTTGTATGTCTTAAAAGCTCCTTATGTTGTGTGTGTTTAGGTGTGCGCGCACGTATTTAAAGTTATACCTATATGTATACACTAATCATTGCCCGTGCCTAAAGACATTATGTAAAAAAACAAAACAATTGCTCTTAAAAGAAATGTATAACAAAAAAAAAAAAAAATCACCAAACAATATAGACCCACCATTCAAAATAAAATTGGCAATGATATATGTTGTAGGATTATTTGTGTAAAGGGCCATATTGAAATATGCAAAACCAAAGAGGCCAAACTAGTAATTTTGAGAATCATTTAAGTTTACTGCGAGGATTGTTATAGTTATTTGTCTTCAATTCAACATCAAAATTTATTATGTTTTATAAATACGAAATATGCAAAGAGCAATGTTTTTGGATCTTGTCAATAGATTGACAATAAGATTCAAATTTGGATGCAATTTGCCGTCAATTCAACTATCATAATAAATTGAAAAAGAGAAAATAGAATTCTTATAGGATTGGTATAATTGAAGACCTTTTAGGATGAACCACTTAAAAACCTTAACTTTGCTAGTCAAATAGGCTACTTAGAAGAACTCTTTCATCTGTTCGGTGAAAGATTTCACTGGAAAGACCTTAATTTAGCTAGTCAGATATGCCATATTAGAATAACTATTTCATCTTGTTCATGCTGGATGTGATTTCACTATTGTAATTTTAAAATATAAAGGACGGTTGAATAAATAAATATTGTAAAATAAAAAGTCAAATATAAGTCGTGTTCTTGAATTTATCCTTTTATTTTTAGTTATATATATATCACTGTCTTGCAAATTAGGTCATCTTGAACAGGAGTGGAGGATTTTGTTTCAGTGGGGGTGACCTAAATTTTTAAAATTTTAACTATAAGTGCAACATTGTTCTTAAGAAACTTTTTTTTATGTATAGTTCCATAAAAACAATTACATTTAGATACGCAACTCATATATATTAGCGATTTTTTATATTAGCGAAATATTAAAAAAGACAACAAAAAAAACCTCACAAAAAAAGATCATCTATTTTTTGACTAGGAGTCGGTTGTTCCAGTATTAATTTTTTACAAGAAATTTATTCATAACTAATTAAAAAATAAATTGTCTAATTAGATTCAAATTTAATAATTTGTCATTAAGTTCATAGCAAATGACATAATGTACTACACATAATCAAAATATAATGTATAAATCCACAATAGTATAATCCATAAATCTACAATATTTGTGTGTATTTGTTGCTGAAATTTCAGATCTAGTTTCCTTATATTTGGGTCTTGTTGTACTAAATTTTTAATTGAAATGAACAATTTTTTGGGAGTGGAATTTGTTGATTGAATGTAGCAGAGTTTGTCTTGTTCATGCTTTGATTTTGTGTTGAAATTAAAGTGATACACTGCAACAAAAATTAGCTACTATTTTATTTTTTTTTGAGTATTGTTCACGTGGTTTTGATGAGATAATTCTTGCTATATATCCTAAACTCTAACAACCAAGTAAGCCTATTTGTTGATGAATATATCAAAGTTTCCAAAAAATCAAAGGAAGAAATGAAGTGAGGGTAGATGAAGAAATGCATAGTCGCAGAAATCAAAATTTGAACAAAAAAGACGTCTAAACGAGTATCAGGGGTGAAGTGAGCGAGTAACCAAAGTTATATTTAATAGTTTGAAAACTACACTAACCCACCCATACTTTATGAAAATTTTAGTGGGGGCAAATTAAAATTTTTAAAAATTTACCTAGGTCCCAAATATTTTTAAAATTTCAGTGGGGGTAGCTGCCCCCATTACCCCCATACTGAATCCCTAATCTTGAACATAGACAATATAGTGACCTATTTGACCTAGTCACCCTATGATCCTCAACATTAGGCCTAGAGGTGTTCAAATTTTCGATGAAACCATAATTTTTTATTCTACCCTATCTA